AAATGCTTTCTGATAATCCAGATACACCAAATCTACACCCTTACCCTCATATACATAAGCAGTAACCTTTTCAATGTTACATTTTCTACAAATCACAAGTCAGACAGCTATTTTTACAAGTGTATCAGCATTTTGATCTGTTTGATATAACAAACTAAGATGCTCCTAACTGGGCCTTGTTAATTATAACCATATTTACATTTATTGGGATAAAGAGCCACACGTATTTACAAAACTATGTGAATAAAAAAAAATATAAATACAGTAAGTTTCCTTTAAATTAATTATAAGTCTTATTTCTATCCTAATTTGAATTAAGCTGGTGAAGAAATACTCATCCATGAAAAGCAATTAAACAGTTCTGGATAGTGAGTAGAGAAGTAGAAAAAAGAAGTAGAAATTGTAATTATATGACATAACTGAAATATGCTTAATCAGTTTAATTAATAAACATGATACAAGTTACATTGTACAGTTGCTAATGGTTATATTTTCATTGACAAATGTTATAAAATTGATATATAAGTATTTATATAAATACATGGTTATTTTTAAGTTAGTTGACCTTTCTATAACTTGAAAACTGCTCATCAAAAAGCTGTGTTATTTGTTGATTAAAGTAATGAGATGATGAGAAAAGTGATTTCAGAGTAAAAAAAAAAATAGTGATCACCAAAGAGTGTTGATCATGAAGTTTGCATACTGGGAATTGTATGAAATCAGCATCAAATATTCCATATTTATTCTGCCTTTAAAAATGACTCCTAAAGGTTATCTGTAACATTATTGTTCTTCCAGAGCATTGCTCAAGCAGTGGTACTAACACTGGTATACCATTATAATTCTGTTAGTATACAAATAGTGAACAAATGCAACAATAAGACTTATTGGAAGCTGATGAAACAGAATTTAACAAACATGACTGAAGTTAGGTGGAAGTCTGAAAAATGGCAGTTGTTATCAGAGAAAGAAATTCTCAAGCAGAATGCAACATCAGTCAAGTTGCCAAGAGTATGAGAATACCAAAATCAACAGTTTGGAAGGTCATGAGACATTGAGGCCAGAAATAAATGCTTTGTAGCACCCTGGAACTGCTGCCAGGAGATATACATAAATGGTTAATACTTTGTAGTCCAATTCCTGATTTGAGTAGAAAACAGTGTTGCTTGTTTGGAAAACATTTTATGGACTGGTGAGGGTCACTTTTCTCCCTGTGATTGGGTCAACACCCACAACTGATGATATGAGTATAAAGTAATCCATGTGTTTCTGTGCTATGATAATTGTATGATGAGAACGTACAGCATGATTTGTATTCAGATGATTGTTTGTCATTTTGCTTCCTTCCCATGAGGAACTCAAAAACAAAATATGTGACAGTGAAACATGTTGAAACATATCATTCCTTTACTTTAGGGAAGAGAACTTGTGAATAAGAGTCTTCATATAACATGGTTTTCCATTTCATATTGCATAGACTATCAAGACATTGCTGGGACATGCTCCACAGGGATCAATTAATCGGCAAACATTTTCCACAGACATGGCCAGCACAGTACCCAATTTTCACTCCCAGCTGATTTTGGGGTATGAGACCACCACAGGTCTGTGGTTTACCGTGACATGTCCACTACATTTACAGACCTGAAACATATGATACAACACTGAGTAAAGTTCAACTGTTAAAAATGTGATAGTATTATACAGCTGTGTATCACATTTGCTTCACAATATGAGTGGTTCATTTATGAAAATTATTTTAATAAGATTAATTTTAAAATGATTTTGTGCTGTTATTGAAAAAGTTAGTTACAGAATAAACATTTAAAAATTTATTTTGAATTAATAATAGAAACTAGAAGTTAATAATGTGTGTGTGTGTGTATGGGTTGAAGTTTATAGTAAAAAACATTAAGCCACACATTCAGGTACCTTTATGAAAAATTATGTTTAACACTTGCCTGCTTAAATTTTTATTAGTGTATTACTTTTTAATAGTGAACTTAAGTTACAGTGAGAATGAAGCAGTTCAGTTTGTTGTTCATTAATTGTTTTTGTACATAACATGCATGTTTCTTTGAATATTTTATAGTTTGGTCTTTGTAAGTGCACAGTGCTTAAAGAATTGATAATCTTGTATATAACAATAGTAGTTATAATTGCTTGTCTTTAATAATGCCAAATAATTAAGGTTTTCTTTTGATTACATACTTTATACATTTAAAATCTTATTCACAAGTGTAATTTATTTCAAAACAAGTATGTGTACGTTTGCTTTGTTTATTTAATTTTTCAGTGTAAAGCAAGCAACAGTGTATAATAAACACAGTGATCACTAGGCTTAATTTTTATGACACATAATGGATTATAAACTTGCACGCTAAATTTATGCAAACTAACAGACTACAGTTTCTTTAGTTTGTACTACCCAATAACTAAAACCCTAAATAGCAGCTTACTGGTAAAGCCTGCCATTTATTAAACATTTTTTTAAGGAGCATCATAATAACATTCTTAGAAAACTTTCTGAGTTCTAGAAAGATATGTTTAATCAATGTTTACCTATGGATGTGTCATACACAACAGCAAACACTGACACTTTATGATTACTTCTATCAAGCAAATCTCTAAAAATGAACCAGCAAAAGCATATATGAAAAAGCAATCAAAAAAGAAAACATTTTCCATGGAACAGTAATGTGTTACAGCATAACAAGATGTATATAAGTTTGTTTTAATAATTAATATCAAATATTTTGATTTTCAAGAAACAACTAAGTGACTGTTATTTTTATTACTTAGCGTCTTGGAGCAGCAGCTGGATTGGTCTGGTTACTTGGGAGAATTGTTTATACTATTGGCTACTCTACAGGAGGTATGTTTATTTTAGTATGGGTTTGAGAAAGTTGAATGTGCTGGTGAATTATCTCTGGATATTGAAAATATTGAAATGAACAACCAATCAGATATGTTTACTATGATCTTTGTTTTTATCATTTTCTTAAGAATAGTGAAATAACTGAATTTTTTATGTTGTATAGAGATGTTAGTTGACAATTTCTATAAATGATGACTTTTTTAATATTTTCATTTAGTGTCTTTAAAAGGGATATATGCATTAAAATTTATACTACCAAAATTAAATCTAGAATTTATTAATATAATGTTCTATTCACAGTTATCTATTTACCATTAGGAGTTTTTTAAGTATTTTTCCATAAAAATGTAAAGAAAGTTCAGTATTGGTTTTAGTTTCTTTATCTTCAGAATCTCTTTTAATTCTGACATCTTATTCATTGTTGGAACTATGTATTATATCAAAGTTCTTTTTATCAGCATTTTCATCAAATTCATGATGTAAATGTTTGTAGATATTTGAAGAATTACCAGCACTAGACTTCAAATACTCTTTTTATATGCTCTTATAAATAACACTAGGTTGATCCCATATAATATCATCCACATTGAAAACAAACATATTGATAAACAATGCAAGAGCTTTAAGTTTATTAATTCTGTCCTTTATCTTGAAAAAGTTTTCATTTCTCAATACTGACTATAAGGGAACACACACTGAAGTTTGTGGATAGTTTGATTTCAAGATATTGTTGATTTTATTACTCAACACATAACTGTCTTTACCCTTAAATGGAAGACTGACATAATATGACAGTACTGGCACATCATTACTTACTTTATGAGGGGTGTACAGTCTGTTTAAAAAATGTTGTCAATTAATGTAAGATGAAAACCATTTATTTACACTGTCTATTTCTCTATGAATGTAATGATAATAACTAGAAATATGATAAGCTCTGTAAAATATGACATAAGTTTTTTAGAAGTATTTTTATTGCTGGTGGATTACAGTTCAATATACAGCACTGTATAAAAGAATTTCTAAAGCCTAGAGCTGGTAATTCATCAAATGTATACATAGCTCTAGATCAAGAATGTGACTGAACTACTATTGAAAAACTTTGACGTATGTTGTTCGAACAACAAACAATATGCAAGAATAAAAGACACTCTGCCAATCAAAAAAACTGAAATGTTGAACTCAAATTCATCAGTGACATAAATTATTCTGAAAGTGTACATAAAGAGGGACTGTAACAGTAAAAGTACACAAAATTATGTATAAAGTGTAATATTTTATCCTCTTCTTCTAACCTTTTTCTAAGGACTAATAACAGCTCTTATCATTAAATTTGTGTATTCAATTCAAATGCTTTAAGCTCTTAAATGTAAATTGAAGAATAATTTTATTAGTACTGTAGATTGTTTCTAATTTGATCTCATAATGTTCACAAAATTATAAAAACATTATGTAAAGAAGAATTAATATTCAGCTTTTAGGCAGTTATTCTATCTCTACAAAGCAGTAAGATCTCTCTGTATAATGTTTTGATTCTAGAGTAATCTAGTTTTACGAACTTTATATACTTAACATTGGATCCAGAAAATTAATTGTTTAGGTTATTGTTAGAATAAAATAGAACACATAATACACATAGATGAAATAAGGATATAAAAATAAAATATTCTAATTAGACATTCCTCCCTTATGTGATGTAGAAATTGAGTTTAATTTTTACTTCTATGTTTTATATAAGTTCCATGCCAATAATAATTATTTTTTAATGGATATCTTTATGATATTGTTTCTCAAAAGGTAATTTAAAATCATATGACACAAAAGCTGTGTCTTCAAGAGCATTTTATGTGATTAAAACATAATTATCATCAAAGACTAAGTGTAACTACTGGGTCAGTGTCCAGACCTTAATAAAGCAGGCTCAGGTGGATTATTTGTACATATGAGCATATGAAAGCATCAGAGCCATTCTGTGGTCTTCATAGTGTCATTGGAGAAACACTTTGTGTTCCAGGCTTTTAGAAAAAAAAATTAATCTTATTTCTGACTTTTGGGTGAAATTCATTACAACTTGTTTAGTATTACCTCTCTGAAAACATATATTTTTAAGTCTCTGAACTAGGAATAATTTACAAAATCTGAAAAACAATTCTGATTGAAAGCTCAATTCCTTTTATTCACAAGTTTTATTAGTGTGGTTGGGAATTCCACGTAGTCCTACACTAAGTAAATATATCCTTGAGGACACAAATTATAAATTTAGCTATTGTAGTTTTAATTTGTGGAATGATTTTTAGAAGATTAAATAAAGTTTACATATAAAAAAAGAAATAAAAATGTCTACATTTTGTTCCTAATTTTGTTGATGGTTGTTGAGGCTCAATCATTTCAGAAATTTTAAAACTATGGTATTGTGTAGTAGTCATACAGCAAACAATGGACAGTAAAAGAATAAAGTAATTAGAAATATATCCAACAATGCAAAGACCTGTATGGTTGCAGTTTTTAAGAAAGAAGTGTGTTTTAGCATTAATAATTATCTCCTCACAGTGTCCAAATGATATCGTAATTTGGGAAATTTAAGCCTTCACATAAATTAAACTTAATAAATTGCATGATTTACAATTTATTTCAAACTGTTACAGAGGATAGGCTATAAAATGTAACTTTTCTTCTTTCTTTATGCTTACCTAATACTGAAGACTACTAAAGTTTCAGTTTTTATTTTGGGGGTTTAAATATGCTATATTATTCTGTGTTTATTCACAATTGTCTTATTCCTGTCCCTACCAAAAAATCTCAAGCAGTTTCTCTTTGTTCTTGATCTTTGCTCAATCTGATTTTTCATTATGATTTATATGTCTAAAGCCCTTACGGAACTGTTAAAACTTATAATTTTATTGTAATATGTTTTAATTTTTGACTTTTTTATTATTTCTAACATTAAGTATACATTTTGTACTGCCCATACTGAAAGAGTTTACATACCCATTTTTCACCCGTAGGAGAAGGATGTTCTTAAGTGAATCATATTTGTTTCCAAACCTTTTCATAAGAAAAATCACACATGCGAATCACAAGGGTGCTTAAAGTGATGCATTATGACAGAGAAATAACATGAAAACGTTTACATTTTAATGTTAATAATACTTGAATTATATTAGCAAAGTTATAATAAATAAGAAACTAAACAACTTTACCGTCTTCAAAAGGTTTGCTATTATTTTTATTTTCTTCTTCACTTTCTTCAAAATCCTTGTCAAATTCATCAGGATTGTCACTTATGTTCACTCTCCTTCTACAGTTTTATGTCCAACTACCTAAAATTTCCTTAGTCCTATTATTTCAATTTGATCTTATCCAAAGTTACTGATGAGAAGTGGCGTTCCCAGAAAGTGGTATAACTCAGTGACAAATGGTGAATTGAATTATAGTTTGAGCTGCATGTTTATTCTTAGTATTTTGATGGTTTCATTCTTTGAGAAATGTAGAGATTAAAACTGATATATTCTTCACTTTTTAAAGGTTTCTTTTATTGAGTGATATAAGATTAGGATTTATATATTAATGTGTTTTAAAGGTTCTATTATTTAACAGATGCAGAGATTAGAACAGGTGTATTTGAGTTTCCAAAATTATGAATATACTTTATCATTTGATGAGTATAACTGTAAAATATTGGTTTGATATGGAAATTTAATCAAGAATCACCTATTGGCTGCTGATTAACCATACTGGATATGGTCATTTTCTGACGGTTGAATGCAAGTGTGCCAAATACAGTGTATAGCTTGCAAAAATTCCACAGCATTTAAAGCAGCTGCAATCAATGGATTAATGCTTGATATTCAGGTGTAGGTTTCTACTGAAGCAAATTAAAAAGGAAATACAAATATCTGTGTAAAAAAACTAAGCTTGCGTTTTCTATTTATAATATTTTACTCAAGTAATCATACTCATCTATATATAACAAGCATGAAATGTCCTTTGCGTTGTTATTTAAGAAATAACAACATTCGGTCCTACAACAACAACATTTAAGAAATAAATTTTTATCCATGCTATTCACATGCTACAAAGTATTTTGCTAAAGTTTATGATTTGTGTTAAATAACTAGTATTTAATAATTACCGAATTTAAGTTCAAATTCGGTAATTTCCACTTGAAAATACAAAATATACTACTGCTGAAACTGTATTTGCATTGTTTTTTGTTCTTGTGTGTTAATTTGTTACTTGTCAACAAATCCTCCTTCAAATAAAGGAGGTACACCAATACATTTTTCTTTTAAATTGCATGAGCACTTTTTCTATTATTTAGCTAACTTATTTTAGTTTTTATTGATGAAATAGATTATTTGTAAAGATAATTCAGAAAAATTGACTTATGAGCACAGTGTAAACTTTTATTAAAGTGTGACAAAATATTCTTAGAGATTTATAGAATTTTAGCAAAGATAAAATAACTTTCTTTTTCACTAGATAGTACTTAAACATCATTTCATTAAATTATCTTAATTCAAATTTGAGTGTTGATTCTTAGTTATTTAACATTTTCAATCTCCGTTCCATACACAATTAGTTTTCTAATTAAACAGTATTTACTACCTAATTCTTTTCAATAACAGATCCACAGAAGAGGATGCGAGGAGGATTCCAGTATGTTGGACTTCTTTTCCTGCTCTACAGCAGTGTGCACTTTGGTGTGGGGCTTCTTGGCTGGATCTAATATATCAACTGAAAGCCAGACATGCTGATACACCATGTGTTAAAAGTCATTAAAGCGTACATCTTTCAATAAATTGAGAATTAATTTGAGGCCAGTTATACAAATATAATGTATAGCACAGTTTTCCAATATTAGATACCAGTGTTTTACTTATCCAGTTGCATTAACGTTGTTTAACTATTCAGAACAAAATGTTTTTAATAAATTTGATTTAAAATTAGAAGTTGTATTCTGTTTTTACTTCCTTTTTACTTGATTATTAATAGTTCATGCAATAGCTGTATTTCTGGGTTGATTTCAGTGATACAATTAAGATATACCAAGAAATGCATGGTATATTTCATGGGCCTTCCTGACTTTGGTGAGATTCACAGGCAATATGTGTGTTCTGCCCCAGGTGATACAAGATGGTTTACAGTATGACTTATTTATTGATATGTCTTGCATAAAAATTATGAAGCAATGTCACTACACTGCTTATCAGACAGAGTAGTCTTTATGAACAGTTGAAAATTAATCTATGCATTAATATTGGTGGCAGTTGTTTAAGCTATTGAACCTGATGATGACAAAACCTTATCGAAACGTTGTACATTTGCTGTTATGTTAAACTTATATTAAAGTTTTCTTCATTACCCATTCAAGACGTCTCCAAGCATTATTACAGACCAGGTAATCTTACTATAATGGACGTAACGTGTATGTCAGTAACTATGTATGTATATATTCCAACGCCATCTATTGAATGGCACCACAAACAAGAATCCATAAAACAATTCACACTTTGGGTATTCAAAATTCATACAAATAGAAAATAACTGTGGTATGTGCAACAACCATTTCTTCATAATAGAACACGATTTTAAATTAAAGTACACTCATCACAACATAAACACGATTTTAACTAGGACTGTACGTGAGGGTTTGATTATATCTTTGTTGTTGTAATTTTTAAATATAATAGTGATTAACAAAAAAACTTAAATATTTTTTTTTCAATGAACGGTATCACTTTTAATACATAAAAACAATACAGTATATATCAGTAAAATTTATAGCTCCGTACGTTGAATCATTTTGATGCAAAAAGTTGCCTATGACTAAAGAGCAAAATCCGAACACTTTTCCAATGCAGTACTTCCCAGAAAAAAAATATATATATATATATATTTTGGCAAATGCTCACGTTTTCTAAAAAAAATTCAATGAGGTATGAATAACACAATCAGCAATTACTAGCACAAACAGCCGCCTGTAGGGAGTCTTTTCTGCTAGTAATAATAATAATACGATGAGCCACTAATATTGAAAACACTGGAAAGAAAATTGCATTTCGTAAGTTACAAATTATTGATCTGAATAAAATCTTTACATTTCTAAGTCTATTAAATAGGAAGTATTTATTGCCATTTCGAAAATCATCATAAATATCTTTAGGGATTTTATACACAATCAAGTTTGTGAAATTTATTCTGAACCTTATAATTTAAAAGAATAAACATTAAATCTCGTATTTACCTCCAAGAAGCAGAAAAGTTGAAAATGGTCAACTACTGTTTACAATTAAATGTACATACAAAATTTCACATATTTATGTAATTAAAAAACAAATGAAAGTATTTTCTAATGTACTTAAAAAACCTCTTGTCCACAGCTTGATATTCTAGTGCGGAAATGAAGAAACTTTGACGCATTTACGTTTCTTTACGCGCTGAAAATAAAACATATTTTGGCCACCAGGGTGCACTTCATGAGCAACGATGTGGCCTTCATTAAGCTTAGGTACTTTTGTTCGTTTGCTGTTAAACCAGTTGATATTCTTCTCAAAATGTGAATAAGAATATCAATATCCATTTATTTATTTTTTTCATTGTAGTGGTCTATTTTTAGATCAAATGCTATAACACCTGTTTGAGAGTTTGTTAAACTTGTAATTTTTGCTTAAATTCAGAATCTTTGAGTTTATTGACAATTTCCTTACCGCGTAACTTCTCGGGATTAATTGCAAATATGAAACCAAGCAAAATTACAGCAAGTCTATAAGCTAAACCTCCAAAATGTAATATAACCATTGAGAAAGGTTTGACTGTAGAATTAATTTCATTCGCCATTATGAGGTGAGTGTTGGGTGTGTAAGATGTTGAATCGTTTCTTACGTCTGGTGCAATAATTAGTTCTGTTCGAGTTTTATGGTATAGTTCAAACAGACCAAAACGTTCCTATTCGCATGAGTGCCGAATTTGGCCTAGTTATTAACGTGCCTGGACTATGAATCTGAGGTTTCATGGTTTACACCCTGTTGCCACAAAAACGCATTCCGCATTTTGGGGCTTGGAGCAAACTATAAGAATGATGGTAAAATCCGTGCTTCAGCTATCATTTCAAAATTAGGGACGGCTAGTTTAGATAATCCTCTTGTAACATTTCACGAAATTCAACAAACAACATTTTTCTCTTTAGAATGAACTAGTATTTTTACTACATGTCCTTAATCATGCATGTAAATAAAAGCTTACCACGAATTGTACTTATTCTTCCTATGCCATTTTTTTAAAATTTGCAATAACTTCGTTACAGCAGCGTAAAGTTTCAGATCAGACTAATCTTAGACCCAATACATATAATATTAAAACTATAAAAAATAAACTGTGTATTTAGTGCTAATTGTTATTCTAAATTACTAATTCAGACAATGTGATAAAGGGAGAAAAAAACCACAACATTCGCATGAAAGACTATAATCAAGAAAATACATTCCACTTTCTTTCTTTAGTTTGCAAAACCAATCAGTTGTGAATGTAACTCTAGGAATACAAATTGCTAAAAAAGATATTATACAAACTATATATATATATATATACGTTAGCGTTAAATTTGGACCTAAAAGTAACTATCAAGTTTCTCATAGCGGACGTGAAAGTCGCTACACAGTAGAAAACGTAGTTAAGAAGTTTGGTTATTACATTTATCACTTGCTCATTATAGAATTTATAATAGTAACATATAACAGTAAATAAACAAAATCACTAACTACTGAAATGCTGTTACACATGCTACTATTAATTATAAAGAAGGGACATTTATTTGTAGAGCACAAGCCATAGGTACTAATAAACATTAATATAACTAAAAAAAGAAACGCTTATCATACTTGTAATTTGGTAAAATAACATTATGTTTTTGTACATATACACATGCAAATGTTCAGTCTTGGAAGTTATTGAAATTAATTTCATTTCCATTATTTTAATTCCATTATAAACACTTTAGTATTTAATGTTGTTTCATAATTTGATTTAAGAGTTTCTTATACTTCTGGACTGTGTAATAAAAAATTTTGTGTAAATGAAACAATGCAAAAAAGAAGTTTTTCCACTTTTAAAAAAATTACAATAAAAGCTGTGTTATTCAAGTTACTCAAGTACTTTTCAGAATCCAAAAACATCAGTTTTTAGGAGTTTACTAGTGAAAAAGCATTGTTTTCGGGTATATAAATCAATTTGTGTCAGAGTGGGTCAGCGGTAGGTTTACGTACTTACATCGCTAAATTCTGGGGTTCGATTCCCCATGGTGGACAAAGCCTAGATAGCCTACTGTATAGCTTTGCACTAAAACAAACAAAACAAACCTTTCGTATTTCAATGAAACACATTCCCATTAAGGCATCTTTACTTTATAAGTCGTCATACAGCGAACATTCGCTTTTTAAATGAAATAAATATAGTACAGAGCTTATCTGCACGAAAGTCTTGTTTGTTCTCTGTGTTTTTTATGAAAACAATGTTCTCAAGCTATGGAGTGTTTGTCAGCAAGAAAAAAAAAAGCTGATTTTTTATCTTCCATTGTTTACCAATATCAGTAAAATCAACCATTTGGGTATTTAAGAAAATGAAATAGTCTTTTGCATGTTTATAGAAATAAAGAGCTTATTGTAAGACTTTTATATTATAAAAACTATTCCGATGTGAGTTGTGCCCGTAAAACTTCGGCCTACGATATTTTCGTTTTTAATGCCTACAACTGCTCTCTTTATTTCTACAGTTTCTCATATCTGTTTTTAGGTATATTTCTAGAATTAATATATCGTTAAGTAAACATTGAAAAAACAACAACAACGTAAACAGTTTTAATAGTGTCTTACTGATTGCATTTTGTGACCACAGGTAGGACAGCGGTAAGTTTATGGACTTAAAACACTTAAATCTGGGGCTCGATTCCCCGCACTGAACACAACGGATAGATCAATGTGACTTTTCTCTGAGACAAAATACCGATGTATTTTACTGTTGCATCTATTTTCAACGACTTATAACATGTTAATATAGATCTTTGCCGAAATTATGTAGTATAAAATTTAGTGCGAACATTTGAATTCGCTCTTTTTTTATCGACGTACATGAAAGTTTTGTTGTAATACAGGAAACAAATGTTTATTTTAAGCAAATGAAATGCATTATTACAAATACTAATGGCTTAAAAACTTCAACAAACAAACCGTTTATAAAAGACAGGTCAAGTTTTCCGTATTATGAACTTGAATGAACTAATTTATCAGTTAGTTGTTGGTTATTTATTATCTACAGATTCACGGTTTAATTAATCTCTTAACAGCATTAGAGCAATAAAACACCGCCGAAAGAGGGCACTGTTCGAGCTAATCCAGGTAGATGGGGATGAAGAAGTTGTCGCAGTAGAGTAAAACTTCGGAACACTTTGGTCATTGAAATAGCAATGGTAGCACATGAGTGGTTGAACATTGTTGCTGTGTGGTGGCTGACATAACGCACAGTCGCCAGTTTTTCCCTGCGTTCCAGACAAAGAACGAGTTAACAGACTCTATCTTTTGCAGGCTTCCAGTAACGGGATATGACACTGTCGTCTGCCGTTTTACGAACCGGCTATGTTGTCCTCACATTTGAAGCCAGCATCGATTCAACGGTCTCTCTTAACTGCAGATACTAGCTATTTTGCTGGTTAGTGAAAACATTACTAAATTTTCTGTGCTTTCTAATCTTTCATTAACATAAACAACGTAAAAAGTGCATGTGCTTTTAGCATTTTTAGACTAGTAATTAAATTTGTGCATGATTCAATCAATATATGCTATCGTCTTAACTGCATCAGAACTGCCAGAAGCAGGAAATCGATATACTAAAGACAACCTTATGCGTATGTTTATCGAAAGGGTAAAGTTAGTTACAGACCTGTATAACTGTTGCAGTAAAGCAAGTCATATTTAATCAATATTTTTGTTAGTTGAACAGTTATTTTTTTAGAAACTTAAGTGTTAGATAACTTACACATCTTTAAATGTTTAAGTCTGACAAAACAGTGACATCTTTATACATACATATTCAAGCTGAATATATAACTTATTAAAATATCAGAAATAAAACAGAGCTTTTTCCTAAGCATATTGCAAAGTTCTGGATTATACAATAAGTTATATAGAAGAACGTTCGTTTTTGTACTAATAACTCGTTTGTAACTTTTTGTAACTAATAACTAAATAAGTAAAATTCCGATCGTTTAATCGCGTCTTCCCCTTGAATATCTCATTACTTTGCGATTTAACTAAAACCGACTTTCGTGAATTTCAATGTTCATTTACTACTTTTAGAATAATACACCCTTAACAAAGATCATAACACTTTGTCGCATGATTGTGATTTCGTCTTTATAGTCATATACTTTATAAGCAGTCGTCGCTGGAGCGATAAAGGTCCTTAATGTATAATTGATGAATATTTACATTTTCATATTCACTTCTTGTTCAACAAGGAAGCACTCACCGACTAAACATTTATAAGAGACCTAGGTATGTATTTCGGTCTGTCGCATTTAGAGAATGTTGTGCGGTACCTGTTTATCGACACGATGACGTAATTTTAAATAGGTTTGTTCTAGTATGCGTTTGTTTCAAAAAGATGAATAACTGTTCACATTTAGAACAAACAAATCTAAGTAAACAGTATCGGTAAGCTACTGTTTTTTGTGTGTTTAGATAATGAATACATATAGCTGTTATTTTGACAAAATATTAGTATTTATTCGTTAAAATTAATAAATTTACATAAACAGTACTTGTTAGGAACTTTTATTTCTGTGTTAATGTTAATATGTTTACTTAAAAAATGTGCTTACCTATTGTTATTTGTAATTTTGACTGTGAAAAAGTTATACAGTCAGTGTTTTAGTGTTAGGACTTATACATTAAATTACTGAAATGTGTTATAACAATATTTTCTACCTACCGTTCATGTTTATCAAATCATCATTTATTAAAAAATGTATCTTGAAATATTGTTTTTGTTTTAGTGTGTTAGACAAAATTTTTGACTTGTATATCAGGAAATATTTTATTATAAATATGTTTGTAAAACATTAAAAAATGTCCCCACAAATATGTCAAAATATTTACCATCAGGGCGAAGTACACGTTTTTATATAGTACATACAGTGTACCCCTCTTGTCATTACATAAAACTGTTTGGGGTTATATCAAATATTATATTATAATTTTTAAGTATATTTGATTTTCACAGTTTTGATAACCCGCATATTATGCAGTAGCTAGCTACGAGAACACAGACATTGTCTTCGGTTGTTTTTTGGGGTTCCTTCACTCACTCACACATACATATATATTGGCTTTGGTTGCGATACTGTTTTGAAGGCCAAAATTCTTGCCAAAAAGATTTCGTGAACATCTGAGACAAAATGAATTATATTTTAGTACAATGTAATATTCAAGTACAAATGTCCTTTAGATGCAGCCTAAGTAAATAATTTCTATTCAATCGCCAGTGTACCTATATTTATTTAGGTTTTGAAGAACGTGTAACACTGATGCTACTAATGTATTTTTCGGAATTGTTCAGCAGACGTATTGATTAAAACACCAAAAATAAATATGAAGCCCTATACATCGTTCTATTCATCACTTATCACTGAGTCGTACCGTTTTGACGGAATTTCACCCCTCATCAATAAACCTGGACAAGGGCAAATCGAAAGAACAGGACTAGACTTCATCTACTAGTGGACTGTATATTTTACTGGTGTTTTGAATTGATTTTTTACTCACTAGAGTTGGTGTAACTCAATGATAACTGGTGAACCAAATGATAGTCTGGACTTCATATTTATTTTGAGTATTTTAAACAGCTTATCTGCTGAATATTTCAGAAGAATAGATTATTAGCATCAAACTACAGGTTTCTCAAACCTATTGTGACGGATTTATTATTATATGTCCAATGTGAATCCAATGAAGTTAAACGGTTTGTAATATTCAAAATTTATAAACGTTCCTGGTCAAATATCTTAAGTTTCTCTATTAATAAACGTTAATTACAGTTATAGCTTACGAAGTTTATAGCACACCAATAATAGATACTCTTGTTTGGCGCGTCGCGTTGGTTATATTTATAGACTTGTGGAGGCTTTCTCGAATTTTCTGCTTTACGTAACAATATCGGCGTTAACACTAGCGTTTATGTACACACATAAATTGATGATTCTTACACTCGAGAATCTTCTACAACTTTAGAGAATAGGCGGGAGTTTCGTATTATATATTTAACACAATAAGCTACGTATGTTTATAAATATAAATTTAATATAAACAAACGTCGATATTAAAATAAATATTTAGTGCTTTTATTAAAACATTGCCTAACGTCACCGGTAGGAAAACTTGGCGTGTGTGGCTGGAGAGTAACGAAGGATAACGCTAGCTAGCTCCCTGTTAAGTGAATTATACCTACGTCAACTCCTAATTAACTCACTC